TAAATTAAATCTTCATTTTTTTTTCTATATTTAAAATATTTACTTGTTTCGAAGCAGAATCAATCATTCGAACATATATATCTTGTTCATGTCGATAATTAACTGAAAGAAAAAGAAGAAATTATTATATTTTCTTTTGATTAATTAATCAAATGTGAATTCTTACTTGCTGGATAGTATAGATTGAGTCGGTAATGAATACCATTATTTGTACGTAAACCATCAGTTTCCTAGAAATAAAATATAAAAATAGTGACATATGTTCATGGGTGTGCGGTCTCTCTATTCTGACAGTTCTCAATTACAGCTGTGCAGAGTTTTAAAGAACGGTTGAATGATCACAAGAAAACAGTAATATATACACATGGAAGAAAAATAACTTGTCGATGAGTTATAGAACTGTGACGCGTAAAAAAGTGAACATCTTGATATAGAAACTATCGCGTGATTACAATCGCTGCCTGTTTTATGTGCAATCATACACATATGGAAAATAGAAATATGATAATAGCAAGTGATAATCATAATCATTTTTAGAATATAAAATCAGTAAAAATAAAGTTCAAATTTCTGATATTAAAAATATTTTCAATGTTTTTATGGTTATGTTTTGAATTAATGTTCGTTCTTCAAAATATATATTCAGTATAATTTAAATATAGATGACAAAAAAAAAGTTTTTTTCTAACTATGAAAAATATAATATTTATCAAGTCTATCATTAATTATTATGAAATAATATTATAGACTTTAATGGTATTAATTTGTACAACCTACGCTTATATTCTATAAGTGTCCCGTTACATTAATGTAGGCGTATAAATAGCAAAAATTATGTTAATAGCACAATACTTTGCTCTATTTCTACTCATATGTACACATATATAACATCTGGTCAATAGGCATTGTAGGCGGTGCTGATGTCTACTCATACATGAGTATCATATACATTATAGATTTCTAGAAATGACCTTCATCTATGTACTTACCATTTCTTTTTCAACAAAACCAACAAATGCTGTACGTTCAATTTCAATTGGTTTACCACTTCGATCATAGAGAGCAACAGTAAAATGAAAAAAATTACTTTTACGTAAATTATTTGGTGGTTGTCTTTCAAAATGTGCTGAAGCAACACCAATTGTTGAATAGAGATAACTATAAACAAATAAAAAGTAATCAAATTAATTTTATATTCAAAACATAAAAACAAAAATTATATTACATACCAACTAGGATCGACAAGCATTGCTGGCCACGAAGCTCTTAAAGGTTCTTCTTTGAGATTACCAAAACCTGATGGTGCCCCACGAGATTGCATAAATGGATCTATGAATAAAAAATATATACATGTGTCTCTCAGGAGAATTTGAAGTTTTTTTTTATTCTAGAATATTTAAGACATTTGTATGTCTAACTACATAGTATCAAGAAGAAAAAAGCGTTAGAATAAGGTAAGTGTCTCATGAGATGATAGACATGTAGACATAAAATATTTTCTTCTTTTTCTATTGGTCTATTGAGACAGATTAGTTACCGTATGGATTTGATGGTTGAGAACAAAGATCGAGTCCAGTAGAAGCACCGATTCGTCTTTGACGATTATTTATGTCACGTCGAGCCACCGTTCAATTAAAAGAAGAAGAATTTCCTTCAATCTTTTTATCTTCTTTTTTCTATCTAATGCGTAATAAGATCCAATAAATCTATTTCGATCTAAAATGGACCAATAGGGATATGAAATAAAATAAATAAATAAATAATCAACTACAGATATCGATGATACGTCACTCAAGGGAACTTGTCTTTTTTTCTTGAAATTAGATCTATACTATTCTTAATTTTCAAATCTTTTAAATATCAATGATATATTGATATTTAATCTAATTGATTAGAAAATAGAACTTTAAAAAGAATTTTTAATTCGGTACCTTATGTTCTGTGTCAGTATACACACTCGTACGACACGTAATGTTATTTCTACTACTTTTTCTTTATTCTTATTGAGAGACTTTGGGTACCAATGGGAGATTGCCGAGTCGGGAGAGTACGCGTGCGAGCTCTCCTACGAGACCTTGCGCCGCACTAAAGAAGAAAGACAAGGGAATTTGTAAAATGAAACGATTAATCTGTTTTTCCTCGTAGATCGCAAGAAGAGAGAGAGAGAAAGAGAGAGAAGGAGAGAGAGAGAGAAAAAGGCGAGAGCGTGAAAAGGTCAAAATGATGTAGAGAAAATCCTTTTCTCATCGTTGTCGTCGTTTTTTTTCTCCTCGTTAGAAACAAGTTGTGTTTTCCTTCCTTTCTTTCTATATCTTTTTGCGATATAACAACGAACCAATAAGAAAAAACGATGAAACACAAGCCAATCCCCGATTGGTACCAAGAAAATGATCATGATCAACATCCTTACTACCAACTCATTTTTCATCGACAACGGCATACAAAGACCGACTTTTTGCTTGCTTCGTCATCTTTTGTATACGATGATATAAGGAGAGAACATGGGAATAGTAAAAAGAGAATGTGTGTAGAGAGGAATAGAACGTGTGATCGTTGTTCCACTCAATCAGACGCTTTTTCATTGCGTCTTTCTCTCTTTCTTATATCTTTGGAGAAATCAACGAGACTAGGGAATTCTTCTTACTACTTTTCAACGACAAGAAAAAAGAAAAAGGAGAAACGAAAAACCGACAATAGTCATTAATATGTGCGTGTGTGTAAAAGAGCAAATCAACATATATGATTAGAATGAAAGACAGAGAGAGAGAGGGAGAGAGAGTGGAGGAATAAACTAGAAAGTGTTGGATGAGTTTTTGATGCTTATCGGAAAGAAAAGTCATCTTCACCAAATGATTATGATACATAAGTTGTTTTCATGACATAGACAATATATATCTATATATATAGAAAATGATCATTTTTACGACTCCTTGGAGTCATACACAAGAGTCCGATTAATGTTCACATTTCATATCACACATGCTAGTTCTTATCTATTCTATATATATATACTAGATGAATAGGAAAAAAAAGACAAATCAATCGATGATATTAATGATAATTGTCTTTTTCTTTTTTTCAACGAACGAATAAAACAGTTACACCAAAAACAGTTGAACAGGTGTGGTGTTGCATTGAGAGAAAAAAAAATTCATTGAATTAAATGACACATTTCCATTTGATTAAAGTTTTCATTTTATTTTTCGGAAACATTCATCAAACATCAGAAGACGATGAGTAAAACTTGTTAAAAGATTAGATGCGCCTGATCAGAATCAGTTATTGTTGTGTTTAAAAAAATATATTTATAAGATCAGGCTTAGCTCAAATTTAAATTTATGCAGCAACAGTAACACTATCAATCGACGTAAGAAGATATGACAAGTGATGTGCTAAAGATTTCAATCAAGCACACAGCAACACATACATATTGCATCATGTTTCACTGAATTTGATCGTATCGAAATTTTATTTCTTTTTGCTATAGTCAATCAAGCAGATTGTATTCCATAGAAAAATTTCTTCATATATATATATTTTAATTGAAAACAGGTTGATAAACGAAAAGTTCTTTTTTTTCTCTTATTTTAAAAACAAAAAATTTATTCATATGAAACGAAAAGAAAATCTTTATTTATAGTCAAAAAGACAATGTAATTGATTGTTTTCAAGTGATCTCCATTGGTTTGTTTATGTATGATGATAGATACTCAATAATATATATGCACATATATATCAAGCTATCTGATTACATTAGTCACAGTATGAAACTTTATGCTTGTTTCATATATTTAAAAGTTAATTTAAGAATAACACGAAGGCTTCCGTTGCTTACATCATGACGTACTTATGATCTTCAAAAGACGGTAGACCCCCTGTATATTCTAACTACCTGCTTGAAAACAAACGTTGTCATCGTCAATGTAAAAGAGCCAACTATCTATTTCTTTTTTTGAATAATATATGCCGCCGACATCATCTAACTTTCGATATAATCATATATCCAAGCACCTTACACAATCGCAGACATTCATTTTGTCTATAAATATATATATATATATATTCTATTCCATCAACATGAAGGGTTAACGATGATTAAATTCTATAGTTGTTTTCTTTTATCTTATTGTCTCGATTTGATTTTGAAAAAAAGAAAACCGATTAATAATTCATCTTCTTTTTATTTTGCGGTGACTTATCATATCATTCAAACGAATACAAATCTACATCTGGATATATCTATCTATTTAAAAGAAATAACATTTGACAAATTATTATCTTGTTTTACATTATGATTGTTCATGATGTGATAGTGAGAGAATTTCATTACTCAAGTCAATTGTCTTTTTCTCTAAAGACTTGAATATGTGATTAGACTATATAATCAAAAAATTGAATACTACCGCTTGTTGAAACATTTGATTATTCATTAATGAAAATTATATATAAAATAAAATGTACATGAAATTTATAAAGATGCGTGCTTGTTCAATCATTGATTTTCTAACAATAGAAAATGATGATGTCCTTCAATTTGTTTTCTCACTTACTTGAAAAAAAAATATTTTTCTGTTTCTATATTCTACGTATTAACATAAACAATTCTGTTCTAAATATTACGTGACATACGAGCCTTCTTTCTTTATTTCTTAATTTTCCACTTTGATTTAACCAATTTTCCCATGTTTTGTATATATACAAGTTGGTCTATCAATCATAATTCTATGTCGTTCTCTTTTTGTATTATTGAAACATATTTTTTTTCTTGTTCTTCTACTATGTCACATAATTTCATTACTTTTTTTTTTTATATATATATTCTTTTTACATTTCGTATATGTGCGTGTGACGATTACAAAGAACGACAATGCATAAGAATAGCTTTTAGCATTTTTCTCGTTAGAGAAAACAACAACTTGAGTAGCCCTAAAGAATAACAAAATATATTGCAATTTGCAATTGTTCAAATGTTTTCTACCTGATTTTCATCCAAAAACATCATGAAAGACGGTGCAACATCAGCAGCATTATTAGAACATAATAACCGAGAGCTTAAAAGGCCAGACATTGATTATGGAACAGAATCTAAATCGACTACAGAAACAACTGAAAAACGACGAACTCTAACTCGTAAAGAAGCCTTTCGTGTTGATCCTACAACGAATACTCATACAAAACATAGACATTATAAAAAACAAGATCAGATACCTTTAACAACTGATCATGAAAATGAGTGGTCTAATTCAATAAAAGTAAAAATAATTTGTATATTTTCATGTCAACGATATTTTATATAGGATGATCCAAATTCTGGTGAATATGATACTGATTTGAATACATTTATTAAAGATAATCTTTCACGTACTGTAACACATGATTTTCAAAATGATGAACAACAACCAGATTTACAGTTAATTGATGCTAAAGAGAAAGAATCATTAACTGATGCTGAATTAGTAGAATATTTTGCAGAACGGTAGATAATCTATTAATTTTATTATTATCATAATAAAAATTTCTTTTAGTATGCGTACACTTCCACTTATATACGGTTTTAAAACATCCGAACGATATGATATAATGCAAAAAGCTATGTCGGTTAATCATGATAAGGTACTTTAGAGTCTAAAGAGAATATTACTTATTTTTTAATAACTTTAATTCATTTTCATAGGATACGCATGTTACATCCAGGTTGCATGAAACACGACATCGTCCGACAGTGCATGCTTCTACTGAAACATCCAGGTTAAGATAATAATAATAATATGAATCTATGTCATTATCAATAATTTTCTTTCTTTTTATGATTGTTATAGACATAATTCTTTTAAATCAAAATCTAAAGAAAAATTTTTTCTTCCAGTAAGTTCTTCTATAATGATATTTCTTTTTATATACACTTTAATTTTAATCTAGAAAATTAATTCAACACCCAGTGATCACGACCATCAAACAAATACTTCGACTGGTCCAGTAATAACATCCTCATTTCGAAGTGGTACCGATCGATTTCCTAGAAAAATAAGAAAAATACCTGGTCCCGGCATGTATGATAGACTTTTTGAATATCCAACTCAGAAACAACTTGTTTCATTTCTATCACGTGGAATCTATTTTAGTTCTAGTTTTACATAAAATAGATTTTACTTTTACTAAATAACATTATTTGTATGATTTCTTTTTACATGTCATGTATGTATTGTCTACAATCAGTAATGATTACGTCCATTGAAAATAAAATATTCATTTAATTTGTCAACTAACTGTACAAATACTTTTTATAATATAAACAGTTGAGTAAATAAAAGCATTAGTATATTTCTCTTGCAATGACACCAATTTCTCAAAACAACAGAATTTTTTTTCTTCTTAAATTTCATGACGACAGATTTTTGTTGATTCATATTTGAAAATAAGAAAAAGTATGAGTGGTATAGAATTTTTGTAATCGAAATAAAATAGTTAAGATGTAAATATTTATATAGTTTCTATAGATTTTATAATAAATAAATAATGGTAGAGTTTTTAATAGTAGATGCTGATCTTTATTTATTTGAGAGAATCCGAATTTAATCATAAGTAATCTGAGATACTAAACTTATTTGTCTAGATTGACGATGATCATAAGAGCATGGCAAAGGTAACGACACTAAGTTCGTTCGTTTCTCAGACCACGATGCAGTCCATGAAAAATTGATGAAACCATAGAGTTGATTGTTTGCCCTTTGCTTCAGTAAATTGTGTGAATCAGTTGAAGATAATTTTTCGTTAAGATTGATAGGTACGGACTTTTGATTTTGAAGATTATTTCATAGAAAACATCACTATTTTATGAATATTTATTTAAAATATACAGAATCTATTTTGATGCTAATCTACACTAAGATAGAACTTTTACAGATAACCGACGATTCCTCGCAAATACATGTATATCAGCTGATTCTACAGAAAAAATATTTTACACATTCAATTTTAACAAAAGAAATGAAGAGTAAATAGTTAACAATAGTTTTGTTTTAAAGTACTATATAAATTGTTAATGCATATTGAGATGAAATTCGAGAAATGAAAACAACTGTACAGAAAAAATATATAGTTTGAAATTTTCATCATGGGTTGTTAATCCCACCATGAAACAATATCGATAGGTGATTGAGGTACGTCGCCAGCAATACTACTTATACGACTATCGACAGTTAACATATGTTGACCATCATCAGGAGATGACCATGATTGATAATAATAAGCAAGATCTATAGGATTATGTCTTGAACGAATATTCTCGACTCTTTGATCATCATCGTCAATGTTCATTGAAAAATCACCATCGGTATATGCATCAAGATTGGGCACAGCTGCTGTTACTTCGGCTATATCAGCTGAAGACCATGTTAATGTACATGAAGTATGATCAACTCGACGAAAAAAATTATGTTCCAAAGCTCGATTAGCTGTTGGACGAAGACTTTGTTTGAATGATAATAATGACTAGTTAATAATAAATTATACATAATCATTTTTTTTTCGAAAAATAAAAAAATGAAATATACTCGAAGTAATTCAAAGGCACAATTATCTTCAAAACGAACAAGTCGTTCAAGTGTAATAGTCGATTGAGAAAAATTTTCAAATGCTTCTCTTCCAATCGGAGACTCATTTGGCCATTCATCTTGATTGGGTAAACCCATTAAACTAAAAATATTCTTGATTATAATATTCTATTGATATTTAAATAATGATGTCTTACAGAATAATACGACGTAATTGACGACTTTCAGATTTAGCAGCAAATAATGGTCGTCCTAATGCCATTTCACCAAGAATACATCCAATACTCCACATATCAGCTGATGTACAATATGGTGATGAAAGAAGAATTTCTGGTGCTCGATACCACATTGTTACAACCTAAATTTTTAATATGCATCTCAATATAGTCATATTATGAAATCAATTATTTACCACGGTAGTAAACACTTTATGTTCATGGTATTCTCGAGCAAGACCAAAATCAGCCAATTTTAATATACCTAAAATTAGATATAAGACCAATGTATTGTTTCATTTACTAAATCTTTTTTATTCAAAGCAAACCATCATGTGTAATAAGAATATTTTGTGGTTTAATATCACGATGAAAAATAGAATGACTATGAAGAATTGATACAGCTGTTAATAATTGTTGAGTAAAATTCTAAAGAATGAAAATATAATGTAGTAATTTTTAAATCAAAGAAAAATTGTATACTCGAATTTGATTAATATCTAAAGGATTATGTAATTTAAGATAACGTTCAAGATCTCGTTCAACATGTTCAAAAATAAAATACATATTTTGTGTATCAATATTTGGTGGTTCAATAAATACGTCTTTTAATCTATTGAAACAAATAATAAGTATTAAATTTTGAAAAAAAATCTTAATACACATATACTTAATCAAATTATCACTATCAGCCTTTCCAACACGTTTTAATAGAGCAGCTTCACGAATTACTGGAGCCGGTAAACCATTACGAGTACGTAATATACTCATCTTTTTAATAGCAACAGTTTCATTGGTTGTAACATTTCGACTTTTAAATACACATCTATAACAAAGAAAGAATTTTATTTAAGCAAATTTTATATTTCACAAAATTCTTACCCATAAGCACCTTGTCCAATAACTTCTCCTAATTCATATACATCCGATTTAACAAGAAGAAGTCTTGCCATGGTTGTTCAGGTCACACGGATACGTTCAAATTGACTGACGTAAGTTTCATTCAACGATGAAATATAGGAGAAAACAATATATAGATGAACTTTTGTTGAACGAAAAGAAAAATGGCGATGTATAGAATAGGGAAAAACAATGATGCGAATAGAGGTGAATATTTCTTTGCTTTGCATTCATTCGTTGAAAAAATGGATACACATATATCTTGATAAACATGCAATTGACGTTCATGACTTGAATTCATGATTGTTTAGTCATATCAGATAAAAGGATTAGAATTTAACAAAAAATATTTTTATTTTATCATTTTGTCCTACACTACAATGTGTAGTTAAAAAAAAATATTAGAGAAAAAATTAAAATGTATCACAAAATTATTTGAAAAAATATTGTTTCATATCTTTAACAATTAATGTTTCATTATAAGAAAAAAAAGACCATTGTTGTGTTTTACTTGTTTGATTACATTTTTCCATAAAAATCATTTTACTTTCTAAATCACAGTCTAAACATAAATGTGTTGATACATGACGAATATGATAAGAATTTATGTCGTATATAAAATGTTGATTACCACGCATTCCTATTCATACATTTATTACAATCAAAAAGATTAAATAAAAAAGATTTTACTATTACCATGACATGTAAATAAGACAATAGGTGCACGTTTATCTTGTTTAGGTACATCGAAACATAATTCACGACCATGTGGTCGAATATCTGGACGCCAAGTAAGTTCAAACTGCTGAAATACAAAAAAATAAATTATACAAATGATGTGCGTATGTATTACTTGTTCACCACTTAGATCACGATGATCTCTCAGACATCGATTAAGACCAAATGTTGAATGTTCCCTAGTATATTTTGTATCTATACATAATAGAGTAGCCATACTTCGAATCTAGATAATTTCAAAACTTAGCGTAAATATAAATATATTTATTACTTCTCCTTCCGCATATGGAGATAAAGCAACTGGTGGATAATTTTGAACCAAATCGTATGCAACATTCTCCATAAACCTATTATACAAATATGAAATAAAATATATTATTTAAATATTAATCAAGATATAATATTCATAAGTACCATTTAAATGATTTACATTCTAATTTTTTACGTAGTTGAAGTTGTTTTTGAATATTACCTGGAATTAAATTTCTAAATAAATAAGAGATAAAATTATTTAATAACAAATAAAATCTTACTTCATATGTGTATCTCGTTTATAAATATATTCAGCATATTCATCCATCCAAACAGCTGCAACTCGTTTATGATTCTATAATGTATAAAGATCAAAAACAATTTCTTCAATGAACTTTCATATATATTACTTTTGATATATAATTATTAAATATAAAACCACTATGTGGATTAAATTCACGATAAATATGACCAACTCTTGAACATGGAGCATCAACAAGTCGTCCACCACATTGCCAAATTTTAAATGAAATTTCATATTGTTCACCACCCCATATCTCGAGACCTTCATCATAACCACCTAATTCCCAAAACCATTTTTGACTAATTGCAAATAGACCACCAGCCATAACTGGATTACTAGAAATATAGATATTTTATATAATAAAGAATTTTAAAATTTTACTCGAATGGTTCTGATGAATTTTCTGCATGCGTAGATAGTAACGGTAATCGTTTATAATACATATTCCAATCAAATGCACCACGAGCACCTGATAATCGAAGAATAAATTTATTTAATTAGATATATATATTACTTTATTTTCTAACCTTCATCTTGAGCAATATAAGCAAAATTTTCCCATTTAATTATATCAATAAATTGACAAACACTTGTTTTATAATTCAATGCAATTGGTTCAATTAATGGTGGTAACCAGTTAATATTAACCTCGATATGTGAATCAAAAAATATCAGTATATCACCTTTTGCTTTACGTGCACCAGCTAGTCTTGCACGAATAAGACCTTGACGTTTATGAAGACGAATAACACGTATCTTTGTTAGATTAGAAATATGAACATCAAGTGCTTTTTTTAATTCGTCTATATACAAAATTTAATTTAAAACTTCATTGTCTTTAATTTGATATTTACCTTTATTACTATTATCATCAACAAGAATAATTTCTTCTAACAGTGTAGCTGGTGTTCGATTTAATATACTATGTATCGATCGAATCAATGTTATTAAATGTTCCTCATGAACAGGAATAATGATACTAACCTATAAATAAAATTATATATATATACTGAAATTAATCTAATATTATAATTTACAGTAGGTAATTCAGCTAGATATAATCTTTTTTTACAACTATACAAAATAAGACGTTATTTAAAATATAAATGAAAAAAAATGATATTACTCTGGATGACGAATATCTTTAAGTGAACGATCAAGTGAAATCTTATTCGAAATAAATGCATTAAAACCATTTGCTCTATAAAGTCGTTCAAATTCAGGATTATTACGATCTTGCGAACTTGGTTCAACTCCACTACCACCTTCACCGAGTCCTTAATCGAAAATATAACAATAAGAATTATAATAAATTTACTAAATGAAAAACACCTGTCCGAGCATTTTCGCGAGCTATTAATTCATAATCATGCCAGTCAATTTTTTCCAATGTTTTTTCAACAATTTCTTCTCCTAATAATTGAGAATGTATTCTTGTTCTAATAGTTCTATTAATTATTTCATTGTTAGATTGTTTAGTATCATCTTCTTCTACTTCTCTATCAGTAAAATCATATTCATTCTCAGATAAATTCTCTGAATAATTATTAATTAAATAAATAATAAAAAATATAAATATAATAGATATGATTAATATACGATTCCGTCGAAATTGAATCGACATTATATACATTCATTTAAATCATATCTAAAAGACAATTTTTTGTATAATCAAGATGTTCTATTTATTTATAAGAAAAAAAAGCACATGTCTTGTAAAGATAATTATTTTTTGCCTTCAACCATTATTAAATGATAGCCAAATTTTGTTTTAACAAGAGATGATATCACAGGTTTAGCTAATGTACTAACAGGAAGAGCAAATGCTGCATCTTGAAATTCACCCACCATTGATCCACGTGTCATCCAACCAAGATCACCCTGAAAAAATGCAAAAATATATCTTTGTATATAAATGATTTCTTTTTTTTACTCCATGTCGAGCTTTATCTTCAGAATAATTACGTGCTACTTCATCAAATTTCATACCAGCATTAAGTTTTTCTAATGCTTCCAATGCTTTGGATTGTTTTTCACAAAGTATATGTCGAACCTAGTGAAAGAAATTCATTCAATACGTCAATATCATATAAATATTTATTTACTTTGACTGATGTACCACCTTTATTACCACCACCTGATGCTTCACCTGAATCACCATCAGCAGATGCTCCCTTGCCTTTCCCTTTTTTGCCGGACATTTTATTTTCCCTGACAATATATACTGATTTGATAACCTTTCAAACAACTATAATTTTGTGTAACAGATGATTCAGCAACGCGTAAAATGGATTTGTTAAATTGACTAATCAATAAAAAGGATGTCAGAAGAAAATATTCATAGGTGCATTTTAGCGACATCCTAATGTGTCATGTTAAATATTATAAAAACGAAAAGTCATTTCGATCAATTGATATTATAATAATTACATTTCAATAGTAATAGAAAATATCTCAACTCTTATATTTTTTTTTATAAAAATTTTCGAACAAATCATCTATTTTCAAATACGCTGTAATATTGTTTAATGTTCATTAGTTTTCGTATTCGATGAAAATATTACTATAATTATCGATCGAATACAATTTTTAATAAAAATTTTTTATTTAGATGTATATTTGATATACTTATATGGCTCATAATATAATACATTACTATTCTTTAGAAGTATTTGTTTAGCAAGAAATTCAACTAGTATTTTGTAAGAATCTATATTCAATACCAGCAAAAAAACTCATCAATATCTCGTAAATTTCTTTTCTCTGTCCTTGCTTTTATAGGAATATGAATGTAAACAAAATCATATATAATTTGATATTGAAAAAAAGAAATTTTTTTTTTGCATTGATTAAACGATATCGTTTTCAATGGTTGTATTTATTTATTCGATAATTTAAATGCATCTTGATATGGTTCTCTTGAAAAAGAAAATGATTGATTTTATAAACGTACTATTTATTGTTAAGCGAAATGAAATCGATTCCACTAAATTTCTTTTTTAAGATGAATTGAAGTTATAAAAAGATGAGAGTTGTTGAAATAATTATTTGCACAGACGTACGCCCTTGATAGTACTACTCAATGTCATATGTGTACATTCACATGAATGACTTTGAACTCATTTCGAAGACAGACAATTCTATGTGAACATTTTTTTTTCTTAACAATTGTGATTAGACAAGAATCAGTATCATACATATAGCTTTGTGTCTAGAACAGATGTATGATTATAGATATACTCTGATATAATATGTAAAAAGATACTTCAAATAACAGTTACATATGCTTCTTTAATCATAATTGTCATCATACAATCATTAATTCATTCGAGCTAATATGCTAAATATCATTTTCTCGTTTATTTTTCTTGAAGAAGAGAAGAGATGTATATGATCACTAGAAATGATATAGAAGAAAAGAGAAGAAAATAATAGCATTCTCGCTATTGAAAGATCTCTATGTTCACATTGTTATGACAAATTGTATATAGTACAAGTCATTCGATGATCAATATATATACATGTTTGTATGACGACATTTTTAACGAGAGTACATTGTCGACAAACATAAGTAAATCATAAGTATGTAGTGAAGTTATAACGATAAAATAGTAGTCATAAAATAATCTCTATGCGAAAAAGAAAAATGCTCCTTCGATTTTTTTTACTTTATCAAACGTCTGTGTAATCTAGACTAGTTTTCATTACTAAAAAATATATCTATTGTTCTCTTTCTATTACTTTAACGATCGATATTCCTATAATGCGATCATTTCTTTACATTTGAATCACATTTATATATTAAAAGCAACAGCTTGTATTCTTATTCTTGATTTTTATTCTTCTTTTTCTTCATCTTTGTTCATTTTCGATCTGTTTGTTCATCTATAGAAATTTTTGCCTTTATACAATTTCATAAAATACAAACAGTATTATGGAATAGAATGAGTTATGACATAAGAACTTTTTCTTCTTCTTCTTCTAGTTTGCATAAAAACAATAGAATAGTCAGGTTGACGTAGTTTGTTATTCGTGCATATGCATACTAGATGTCATATGTACAAGAGACATACATATAAAAAGAATGTATTTGTAAACATCTTCACTATGTATTGTATAATCATCATCGTCATCAACTGACATATGATTGACCAAATGGGATATATTGTATTTTAGTAATGTTGACGTGATCTTTTTTTTATTTTAATCAAGACTGACACAAGCAACAATATAGACTCAAATGCAATAACGACATATTCAATTCCTTCGATGCCATTAAACACTATTCAAGGTCTGTTTCTTTCTTTTTTCTCTTACATATGTGACATCATCCTATCATATATAAATATACATGTAATAATCAACTCTTACTATGTCGTATTATTTCTAGGTCAGATTGGCAGTAAGTAAGTAAGTAAGTAGAGACAATAATCTCATATCATACATATACAAGCACACACACACGTACATGACTCGAGGCGGCTCAACATGAAACAAAGAGAGACGAGACATTGAAAAGAATTACTTTTTAGTGTTTGAGGATATATATATATGCAATGATTATTGTCAAGCCTAGAAAATGAATTAAGTCTAAGGACAGATATATATATATTAAAATGACTACAAAGAAGATAGTTACTGTTACATTGCATTAAATTTAATCATAGATCGATTATCTTGAATAACTAATCGATATTATTTTATCAACATTTGTTTTTTCATCTTTTTTTTCCTTCTTTATACATATATGTATACACGAAATCAGATATGTCATTTTGTTCAAATTTTCTTTTCCTATCTCGATTAAGAGCATTTTTTTTATTGACGAACAAAAGAAATCACCTTGATGTGTTGAGAGTCTTCTCCTATTGGCATTTTCTTTTATTCGAACTATCAATGAACAGGTACTACACATACACGCTTACCAAACTAAAAGTGACAAAAAAAAATGAGAAGAAAAAAAAAGTGACAATAAGTGCTTATATGAAGAATCATCATAAGTAGTAACCGTTTCTATCATCTCAAGGCATTTACACTGTATGTATATTCAAAAGTTTATTTATGTTTCTTTGATGTAATAATCATTTTCTATCATATAAAAAAAAACTTTCGACTATTCGATTTGTTTTTTCACATAACAGTATGTATATATAATAGAGATTTCATCATTCATAATATAATAATAACTATTGTTCATATGTAATAAAATCGTTTTTGAATTCTTTTATATAAACCATATGAAATAACCTTCTGTTTTTTATCATCATACTTCTCTTTACTATTGTGTCCTACTTTACCATACAAATATATATATATATACATAGATTCATCTGACATAGTGAAATGATATCAATCATTATCATATATATATCATAAAGGAGATGAAGAAAGCTTTTTTTCTTCTCGACCGAAGGTTATCAAATTATTACTATGATTGCTAAGACCATACATTTGTGTTTAATCAAACCATCTCGACCATGTGTATATGTATGAGAGATTTGACGACAAATGAAAGGGGGGACAAGAGAAAAGAGAGGGAGGGAAGTAAAGAAAGTTCATTTATATGAATGTACTATGAGCAAAAAATTTGCTTCTCTACTTGATGATCATCCTTTTCATAAGTAACAACATTGAGTTATACTAAATAAATGGTGATGAATGAAGAGAATGAAGGACACTGAACATATATCAATCGTACTATTGTTAGTTCAAATAAATAGAAAGCGTGAGAGAGAAGCCATAATTTTCATGCATGTATGCATGCGACATACTTGAGAGCATGTATATATATATATATATATGGGTGTATGTGTGTACATATCGATATAATATTTATTTTTACTTTTTTTTTCTCATTGATATCTTAAGGTTTCCAAGTTGACAACTTGAAATCAGTATATACAACATTCATTTAATTTTCATTCTAGTTAGTACACGCAATCTTTATAATGGGTAATTGTATTGGTAAAAAATCTTCAATATATTATAAACAACGTAGACATTCGTCTGCAACGATTAATACGTCTACGAAATTATATTATAATGATCAACGACCTACAAAACAAGCTTCATCATTAGCATTAGCATCACTAGCAACATTGAATACATCATCAGAGCGGAGTAGCATTTTGCTGTCTCATATGTCCGATGCAAAAGAAACTAATATGGTTTTTAACGATAATGATGAGAGCAAAAGAAAAGTTATTCAATATTCGTCATCCTCACTCTTACCGACTATGACACCATCAACTAATGAGCAATTCGTATTCATGCGTACATCATCACCAACTTTGTCGCCTGTTCAATTATCATCTGAATGTTGTAAAAAAATTAAATCTAGCAATACGGTGACAGTTCTTAGTGAGAATAACATAAAGCAACCACTTTCATTGACAACAAACGAACAAGATATGACTATAGGACACCTGTTTAGCAAGAAAAAAGATATCAACAAAGAAAATGATAAGGAAAAAATGACCATAAACATTGAAATACATATGCCTGATGAAGATCAGAATAAAAGTCATCAATATTTTACAATTATTAACGATGAAAAACCATCAAATAATGAAACTATGATTGATACACAAGAAATAATACAAGGTAAATTAAAAAAAATATTTATTTATATATATATGTATATATTTTTGTTATTTAAGAATCACTTGATACTTCACGTTCACCATCTCTATTTGATTCTTCACTTTCATCTCTTTCTTGTAATACAACACCATTTTCATCACAAGATCGACTTATTCTTTCATCATCACCATCATCATCTTCATCAGCTATTCTATCATCAATTGGATCAACTGCGGTTATTCCTATTCCACCATGTTCACGTTCAACAAAAATAAATCATAATGGATCACGTTCATTAACTTATTCCGATCAAATTTATCTTAATAATCAATTATCATATTTATTTCCAACAAATGAAGTTTTTACAACAGTATTACCAACATCATCATCTCGTCATAATAATGATTTATTTATTAATGAATTTCATCAAAATATTGTTTCTCATAATTGTAAAATACTTAGTACAGTTATTGATAATGTTGTACAACAACAATTTATTCGTATTCATCAATGTTCAAAAGTTATTTTAATTGAACATAAAGAACTTGAATGTGAACATTTAAAGTAAATCATTTCGTATGACTATTATATGAATAATATATTAGTCTTTTCTTCTTTCATTTTTAGAGATGTAAAAAAATTTCATACACCATCATTAATTTTTGATGATCAACAAAAAAATGTTTATATAACAAAACATGCACATACGCTTGGTCTTCAATCGGTCACATGTATAACGAATAATGTAACACGTTTACCAAAATTATTTTCATCATGTGATCATTGTTCATTATTACTTTCCGGTTCGAAACTTAATAAACGTTTACATCCATTTATTCTTGTTAATACAACACATAATCTAGTAGAAATGTGTTTTAATGAAACAAATAATAATGCAATATTTGGTTATATATCACAAAAACATCCAACGAAAATTAAACAAACAATTATAAATAATTCGAAATTCGCATATTCATATGATCTTGATATTGGTCATTCAACATTTTATTTTGTTTTACGTATACATTCATGGCCACATGAATTACGTCAAATCTATGAACAACGTCATCGTTTATGGCCGATTAATACAGATAAATTATTTGATGGTACTTGTTTTATTCGAATCAATACGACTGAACAAAATATACCGACAATAAATAAATGTCTTGCTTGTGAAAAAATGCTTTCATCATCATCCGATTCAACTTGGTCGTATACATATACAGCTATTGAAGCAAAACTTGTTGCAGCTATGTCCGATGATCAAATACGTTTTGCATCGATCATCTGGAATTATTTGAATGGAAAAACACACGGCGAACTTCCATTTCGTATATTTAAACATACACTTTTTTATTTCTTTGAACAATATTCATCCGATTGTTTTATATCCTGTGATTTGCTTAGTCATGCACATCTTTTTACTGATTTTCTTTTCAATTGTCTTCAAACAAAATCCATTCCTCATTATTTTAATTCAAATTATAATCTTTATACTGATAATTTATCAACAACATTAATGAGTTCAATATCAATTAAAATGACATATTTAGATTTAAAAAGTTTTTCTATTCATCTATTACCAACATCATCATTGTATCTTTATCAATTAATATATCTTATACAATTTCAAACAAATTTTTTACAATATCTTCTTGCATGTACATCATCAAAAACAAATTCAATTCAAACAATACTTGATACACATGAACTTGTGATAAAACAATTATCATTAGGTATTAAAACATATAAACGACAATTAGATACAAATATTGCCTTGAAAACACATAAAACATTGACACTCGATTGTTTATATAGATATCAAGAAGAAAATGTACAAATTATACTTGATTATCTACCATTACTTCGAGATAAAGAACCTTCGTTACTTATTCATTCACTTTGGTCTATGTTTATTCAATATTTTAATTGTTTATTTGATGATCTTTTTACTTCTTAGAAAGAAATCAAAATAAAACATGCATATATACATATATCGAGTTCTTCCATGATAAATACAAGATATTTTTTATCCAGAGATAGATTCTAAATGTCCGAAGATATAATACAAAGAGAAGGACTCTCTCAGTTTTCATTGTATAAGTTTGTACGACTCTGAAACATTAAGCTTGTTCTCAATGAACAACATTGTTTGCTTTCGCTTTTTCAAAATAATCCATTTTCTCTTGTATGTATTTCTATTTGAAGAAAATACTCTATTCAACTAAAATAATATTTCAATTACAATTTTATCGTGTTCATTCATCTCTTCATAAATAGAAATATCAATTGATTCAAAAAGAATAAATTGAAAAGATCGATATCTATCCTTATATATTATTCAGCTTGTTTAACGGTTAAAATATTAGTTTTAATGCTTACATATATATTGTTTAATGACATATAGCATTTTGTTATGCAAAAAAAAAAAAGAATATAAATTATTTAATATTGGAATGAGAATCGAAAGAGGAGAGAAAGAAACAAGTTTTGTTTTTTGTAAAAAAATAGAAGATTAATCATACAATACACAGAATAAACAAAATGAGAAAGATTGAAATACATGATTAGTACGTTCATTTATGACTGTAAAACAAAGACATAGAAGCAGAAGAAAGAAAAACGTTTTTAATATTATAAAACATGCAATAATATTGCTAAAGATAATTAAGAGGCTCTATTTTATTGCACATATATATATTTTTGTGTTTTTGAAAAAATCTATTTAATCTTTTGTTCTAACAGCTAGTTTAATTAATTTTAATAAATCACGAATGTTCTTCAACATTATCATAAAATTCATTATTTTCATCTTCTTCAGGCAATTCACTAATTGATTTAGTACTTTCATCTTCTTTTGCTACCATTTGTGTACGGCAATGTTTAAGACCTTTGAATAAACAAAAAAAAAAATATTATATTTTACATTAATTATATTCTTTAATTACCAGAACAATAGAAAATAGTCAACGCTCCTAAAAAAAATTCATAAGAATATAGTTATAAAAAATAAAGATAACTATTAAAAATAATCAGCGAATGACATACAAATGAATTAAGCTAAACCCAAGGATTCCCCCTTGTAACATCGAAAGTAAAAATGTAGAAAATACAAATATCGAAATGTAAAAACGTCGAATAGTAGAAATATTAATGAAAAAGCGTAGGTGGGTGGTAGTGGCATAACAAGAAAAAATGAGTCTCAATCCCTATTCTTTGTCATCTAAAGGGTAAAGCTCTGTCCTTAACTACTGTATGATTACGCACCTAGTAGGCGGGTGAGGGTATGGGCCTAATCTCCGTCTCACACCCTTACTGACCCTCAAACGTGTTGATACAATGTATCAACGATATACTTAGGGTCTAATCAAGCCTTTGAAACTTCTTACCAGATTTATATCACTAGAAGTTGATTCATTAATTCGAAATCTTTTCGACATTTTATTTTCGATATTTTATTTTCCAATCAAATTAGGGATAGCCAATCCAAGATTCTCAGTATTTCATCAATCAGATTCACCCTCGGGCAAACTAACAATGTTAAGCGATTTCACATTTTTTACTAATATATTACCTTTGCTTATCGTTACAGAATATGTAATTAATATAATCTAAATTTAGATATTTTTTCGTTGAGAAAAACTCAAAATAGATTTACATATATAAGCTATTGAAGTTATTTTATGAAAAATATCGAGATTTTGGATCATATAATAGATACATACCTAATGCTTGAGTTTTTTCATCAATATTAGCAATTTTTTCACGAAGTTTTCGTTTTTCGTTTTCATCGGTTTCAACATTTTGATATTCATGTAACATTTCTCCACGAATATGCGAATTTAAATCGAGTTCATGTTGTAAACGAGATATCTATAGATAAATAATTCAATATAAATTTTTAAAAATTATTCTTTTAAAACTAACTTCACTATCAATTTTTTGTTTTCGTTCTTCAGGTGTTAATTCAGGGTATAATTCTTGTCCAAATTCTTGTGCTTTTGCATATATAATTGTATCATCGACGGATTTCTCATGAAGTAAATGCTCAAGACCTTGAACATCATTATTTTCATCTAACAAATATTGCTAAAATATAAAAAAAAAAATTTTTATTTTTATTAAAAGAATTTTGAAATTTTACTGTAATGATTTGACGTAAATCTGCCTCAGGATTAGTTTCATTAGGTTCTAAAAGAAAAGATAAAGTTAATTCTTTTGATGATTAGTATTTATTCGAGCAATTTAAAAATAAGAATTAGCAATAATTCTTAAGCAGTAAAAAAATATTTTTCTGCAATTAGATATTACGAAATGGATAATAATTAATTGATTAAACTTCAGTAATAAGTTTATATGTGAGCAAGAATAAATTACTGTTTGATCAAAGCTTTTTTAGCTTTAAATGGCCTGTCTCACTTTCTTTTTGCACCAATTGCTACATTTTTTGTCTGTAGTATAGCTTTGCAATATTTCAGTCTTATAGACAGTCCGATGATGTGTATGAGTGTGGATAGAGATACAAGACACTCATCTTACACCCACATCCTCATAATCAATCTCACTGGTAAACATAAAGTTCTCTTTTATTTTACAAATGATGACAATATTTACATAATAAACAAATGGGAGAGAAAAATCCAAAATACTGCGGAAATTAACATAAAATGTGAAGGGAAAATCATAAAACGATAAGAACGATTGGTCAAAACCAAGAGGCGTAATAAAATTGCCCAGTCAATATAATTATTGCTAAGTCAATATTATAATCGCTATACCGATTATTGCTCATTCGTATTATGTATTGCTAAATTAAATTTTACTCTTTTTTTTTTTGTTAATTAAATAAATCTGTACCTGAATCTGATGGTGAACGTGTTTTCTTAATAGGATTTGTTTCTTGAGTAGCAGGTAATCGTTTAGATTTAAATTCCCGTATTTTACTGTAAGCTGATGAAGCAGCACTTGCTATTTTTGAAGGTGCATGAGCAGGTACATTTGTTGTTATTGGCTTTTTTGTTGGCAAAGGTGATGAACTGCTTAATGATTCATCACTTTTTGATAATTCTGATGTTGCTGAAAGACTAGGTACTAGATTTGTTGTTGTTTGATTAGAATTTTTGTTTCCAAATGCACCACGAAATGATCGACGTGCTGTAGAATCAAGTGCAGAAAAAGCAGCAGCTGCTTTTGTTGAAAGACGATTTGCAGCTGTTGTTGTTGTAGGTGTTGTTGTAGGTGTTGCTGGTGTTGTTGTTGTTGCTGCTAGTGTTGATCGATTATTATTATTTGGATTTGAAGTTAATATTATATCAGGAGTACTTTTTATTGAAATTGATTCTATATTATCCATTAGTATGTTAGGAGGTGGAATACTTGAATCACTAATTTCAATATTAACTACATTTTTTAAATCATCATCTGAAGTTGTTGAGATTAGATTAGTTTTTACATGATTTGGATCATGTGTACAAATTGTGTCTGCGCTAAATTTTTCTTCACATTTTTTATGTATTGTCATTAAACAATCACGACATTGACGACCTGATTTCATCCAAATTTTTTTACCACAACAACTGCATAGTGTAGAAGTTGTAAATGTTTTATCTTCAAATATATGATCAGTTGGTCTAAATACAAAGAAAATTCAATTTCGTTTTTTTCTATAGGATAAAAAATGATAGATCGTTTGACTTAGATTATACGCATTTTGCCTTTTTTAGAATTCAAACAGTAGTGTCAGACTTAAATCAGTTTCTAAACATGATTCTATTCTAGTAGCGGATCATCAAAATAATTGCCCATTTACACCTCTGCTTTATTCATCATTCGGTTTTCTTTTATAATTATTCTTCTTTTTGTGTGTCTAATTAAACGTGTCTATTGCTGATGAGGTAGATATGCTTATTATTTTTGTTTGAAAATAAAATTACTTTCGTGTAGGTAATTCTTGTTCTTCATTGATAACATTAATATATTTTAATTGATCTTGTTTCCTTTCATCTTCTTTTAATTTTGTTGATATATCATGTAAAATTGGAGCATTCACAATAAATTGTTCTTTCTTTTCTTGAGGATTTAATTTTGCTTCAATTTCTGGTTTATGTTTTATATTTATTGTTATAAAACCATTAGCTAAATTTTCATCATAACCTTTATGACTACTTAATTCTAGTCGTTTTTTGCTAAAATAAAAGCAAAAAAAAATCTTCGTTAGTGATACATTCGATTGGAGATTAAAGTATAAATATTGATTAATAATTTTTTCTCATGCATATTATTTTTATAACGTAATTTTACCTTTCAGAATCTGTCAAAGAAGCATTTCTACAGAGAAGAAATATGTTCATGAACGTAGGTATTTATATATATATATGTACGTAAAAAAAAGAACGTGTATGAATAAAAACTTACAAATTAGGTTTTGGTGAATAAGCTGATCGAAAATTAAGTGTCACTTGAGTTTCACGTTTATAACTCATATGAGCATCAAGTACTATTTCAGATAAGGCAACAGTAGCCTATATAAACAGAATAGAATATTGCTTGAGTTTTCTTATATCATAGAAAAGTTACTTACATAACCAAGTAAAATAAGTTTTTTACCAGGATTTGGTACATCACAATCCAATGGTGGTTTACACCATAAACAAATATTAAGATATTGTTCATTTGGACCTACTTGAAAATCGAATTTACTATCAAATTCGATATACTAAATTAAAAACAAATATATTTATATATATATTTTGGTATTTATATGAAAACAAACCGGTTCTGCTTTTCGAGTAGCAGTTGGTTGAGCATGAAATTCTTGTAAAATATCTGTATTCATCATAATTAAAGTAATATCATTTGCAGAAGTTTTCTTTGAAAATAAAAAAAATTTATAAAAATAAAATTTACAATAAATTTATTTTACTGAATGTTTTGACTTTTTTGGTATATTAACATCTGGGTGTTTAAGAGAAAGCTCTGGTGTACTATTATTTTGTGATTGTTCTTCTTCATTATCCTGCGATTTAACTGGTAAACCAATTGAATCAGCAGATTTATCAAACTTAACTGAAGCTAAAAGAATGTTTAATATTATTCTTTAGTTACAAAACAAAAAACAAACCAGTCGGTGGTATAATTCGTTGACGTACAGTAATCGGCGGTGTTAAAGAAGCTAGATTTTCACTTCGAGTTGACAAGGTTGGAGAAGTTGATGTCTATAATAAATATTTTAATAATACAATAAATGATTTAAACTTTTTACCGGTTTTTCTGTTTCTGTTGTGTTCGAAGTTTCTGCTGCACGTTGTACTCTTACACTATGTAATATAGGTATACCAACAACAATCTGTATTTTATCTTCATTTCCACCTATTATTGTTGTTGTTGTTGTAGTTGCTGTTGTTGATGTTGATGTTGATGTTGATGTTGATGTTAATCCATCATTTGATGGAATAGGTGTTCTATGTTTAAGTAAACGATGTATTTGTTTTAGTGTTGTAATATCTTGACCTTGCATTTTAAGTAGAAAAACATTTTTATCTTCTAATGCAGCTTTTAATGTTGTTACATCATCAATTCCATTTGGTAGTGGATCAAGTTCATCAATTAAGAATTCTATTCGATCCATATAATTAACTTCTTTAACAATTAATTTATTTACATTTCGTTTTAATTCAATTTCTTTTCTTTTCCATTGATCACGATTTATATGTAAATAATCAGCACACATTTGTTCATTAATATTTATTGTTAAAAATACATTAACTGATGAAACTTTTTGTTTATCAAATATAGCCAATGGAATTGAAAGACGATCACAATATTTTATTGTTATATCGAATGTACCAGGTATAATATTATTTCCATTTGTTGATAAAACTTCTGTTGGAATAGATTGTTTTGATGTTGCAAAAAATGGTTGACAACGTATTTTATAACTTGGCCATGTTTGTTTACGTTTAATAGCACGACGTAATTGTTGTGTAATAAGTTGTGCTAATTGTGGACTTTCAACAGTAGCAAAATAAGATTTAACTTGAAAATCAATAAATGGTTCATCTTGAAATACACATAGCCAATGACAAAATGGTTCACGTCGAAATTCTAAACGTAAATGTCCTTGTATACGATTGACTTTAATAGATAAACGACATTTATGACCAAATAATAAAGTTATATCAAGTGTAACAGAAAAACCATCTTTATAATCTACATCAAGTTTAGCAACAAATCCCTGAATAAAAAAATCGATTATATTGTCTTTATTTAAAACTAGATATACTTTTATTAAATGGCGTTCATCACGTTCTTGTCGTTCAAGTTGAATATCACTAAATACTGGACACTCTTTTCCAATGGAAAAATTTTCTATCTAAATATAATTTGATCAAAATTTTTTTATAGATAATTCATGTATATAGAAATACATACGACTATATTTTGAAGAAATATTTTTGCTGTTCGACTATTTTTTAATTCTTTAAATTCTGTATTTAATTTATGCATCAAATAACGTCTCAGTCTTGAACTATCTTTTAATTCTTGAAATAAAAATTGAAATAGATAATTTACAGCATCAACAGCAGAATTTTTTCCTCGTTCATTCTATAAGCAAAAAAATATGAATAGATAGAATATTTTCAGATATACATTCACTTACTTCAGGTAATGGATTAAAAGTTTGATATTGTTCTTCTTGTTGTTCATTAATTACTACCGGTGAATATACTACATAGCGTGTATATAAATATAGCAATAAAGCAATTGTCGATGCACATCCCAATAAATAGCTGAGTATTATAATTAGTAAAAACATAATTGAAAATGAGCAAATTAATTCCTGTATCTCATCTTCAAAGAACAGAAAAAAAAACTAATTTGTTTTCAATTTCTCTTATAGTTTATAAGTATCTTGTTGTTTGTTGTTTGTATTCAAAATTCTTTGTTTATACACACACACTTCGAAAGCGTCATACAAAACTATACAAACACGTGGATGAAAGAGAGAGAAAAAAAAGAGAGAAGAAAGAAGAAAAAGAAAAAGAAATGAAATAAAAGCGCACAAAAGCGATCGTCATCCACCTCCAAGGTTTTAATACTTTCCATTTCTACACTACACACACACACACCTGATAGCGCATTTTTTTTTATGTACGGAAGAATCTTGCATCAATCAATATAATATTGTTTAATATCCCTTATATAGTTTTTTTGTTATATAAATATCCGAATGACAAACAACGTATTACATCAGTGATAATCTCTATGTACAATGAAATACAAAAAAAAAAGAAAAAGAAAGAAAGAGACGAAAGAAAGAGAGCTAAGAATCGTCGCTATGTTCTTCATTTTCTCACATATTCAACCGTACTAGCTATGAATGCGCACGAAAGAAAAAAAAAGAACCGTGAAAGAAAAAGAGAGAAAAAAAAAGGGAGAAACTGTTGTCTATTGTGAGATATGAAGATCACTGCGAGCATAACGC